CACACACACACACACACACACACACACACACACACACACATATATATATATATATATAAGCACAGATGTTCACCGGTACTGTGAGATAGATATAATAATGGAATTAACAAATCTTTCTATACCTGATTTGTTTGATTTGTTTCGTGATACCGCTCAACAAGATTAATCTTCTTCCCTCGTTGAAGGCTGGCTATTGTCATAGGAATGCGTCCCTATTCTGGTGTTTTCTAGCAACCAGCAGCACATATGAAAGCCTAGCACGTCTTCACTGAAACCACAGAAGGATCTCGAGGATAGCATCAATACAAACAAACGACAACAGACCATGAGGATCAAGCTCATGTCTTCTAGAGAAACCAGCCAACGAAGGTTTCCATCACATTAACCGGAAATCAGTTATAAGTAAACCAACACCGATAAAGCAAGATATTTCCCCAAACCAGATCGCCTTCATATTGGACTTTTGGTGGTCACGACTACTCTCAGATTACTCAGCTACTAGCATCAGTTATTCAAATGTCAGTGTGTGGCTCAATTTCGTTACAAGTGACTCTCTTTTTGCATGCTTGTACTCGTTAATTCCATCGTAGACTATGAAAATCCCTCACGCAGAGCACAGGCCTGAAGCTGTGTCTTGTCCTTCAACATTTAATTGAAGCAGGATTATGTTTCCACTAAATTCTGTCTGAGACGATGGAATTGAGCCTTCCCTAAACAACTTGTAGTGAACTTTTCAACGCTCTATGCCTAAACCATCTATTCACCTTATTTTTCGTTCGTCTCATCTGTAGGACGATCGGTGCTTCTGCTTCAGCAGCATTGGATTCACCGGACTGTACCATCGGTTCGAGATCAGAATAGGGCATTTCAAGAGTTGCTCGGCTGAAAACAATTATGGTCAGGAGTGCATGACCACGCGGTCGTCTTCTGCTGAAACGACTATTCGAACCCATTTTTAGGAATATTTGCTCTCCTTTTAAGCAGAACATTTGCGCTAGAAAATAACCTGAATGAATCGTTGAGAGTCGAACAGCTGGAGAATATACATAAGACCAAGACGATAGATGGATGAATGGACAGACAGGTTAAGTTTGGTCATATAAGAAAGTTGTAAGAAATAAATAGGAAATAAAAAATATAGACGAGCTAATAAGGAAGTGAAGAATGAAAAGGGTTTTCGGGGAAACTACGACACTTTCTTCACCTTTTTTCACTTTTAGGGACAAAGTTGGCCCATTATCCAGATCGGGTTGCTATAAAATAATGTGTTTATGTGGTCGCTTTTATGTTGGAGAGACTAACCGTTCCATTCGATTAAAGTTGGCAAAACACGAAAGAGCACATTGCGACTGTTGAGATAAAAATCAGAGCTGCGTGAGCACAAGGCAGAAATTGGACATGAAAGGGAATGGTCGCAAATTTCTCATTTCGCTGATTTTGGTATGTCTGCGGCCATCGAAATAAACCGAGTAGGGAATAGATTGAATGTAAGGAATACCGGCAAGAAGTTAAGTAAAAGCTACTTGTGCTTAATTAATAGACTCACGGATTGAGTCACGGGCAAAAAGGAGGGGACTCAACGAATATTTCTTGTTTTACTTATAATCACAGTCAATTTTCTGCACCTTTTAGTCCAGTCTTTCTCTCACATGAAGACAAAACGTTCATCAAAACAACCATACATGTGTCCAACCTTGCGCGGTCGAAGTGATGGTTACAATATTTAGAGAAAGGAGGTAATGATGGTCGTGAAACCATGATGCCAGAGAATAGGCGTTACTTTTTTCGTTTTAATTAGTTCGAGCCCTCACTGCTGGTTGCGTAACTATGCGACCACATGCAGGCACATACACACATGGACACACTCACACGATTTGAGGTTGACATCAACTTGGACTAACTAAATCACCTTATTCCTCATCAAAGAGCCCAGATTTGGGGTATATATACAGCATTTAGGGGTGAGCCGATGGATTGTAAAGATGATACTATCTGCTCTGAGGATGTCCGTCATACTATGGACGAAAGCGAAAGAGATTGCCTCGGAAACAGCGCCAGTGAGACTATTCCCGTAAAGCCAATCGACAGCTGGTCAAGAGGAATCCGCTGACCTTCGAATCTCTTCTTTAAACACTTTTACTCGAAATGGGAATAGGCTCAAAAATTATGAAACAAGAGATTTCTTGGAACGAAACTTTTTTCGCATGAAATAGTCGTGTTGGACAGAAGAAGAATCAATGATTTGGCAAATAGTAGTTGCCATAGGTACATATTCAGCCGAATGGTTAATTGTCTGAATTAACTCGCTTGCTAACAGGCATCGTGATGTTTTTATCTGCCGTCTTTGGTGCAGGCGCAACGTATTGAAGACTTCAAGTGGCAGGAGGATGATAAACCGGCTCTCGCGACGAAGCCGATCATCGACGCCAAGGACATGGCTCAGAGGAAGCGTCGAATAATGCAAATGCACACCGACGTTGTAGAACAGTTGACTGGCATGCCGCACATTCTTGCTAAACAGGAGAAAAGTTCTGCTGTCACACGTGGACTTGGCGGACTTTCCATCTTCTCGCCGTTCACCCCTCCCAGTCAGATGCCGGTAGGTACAATTTTCTGCTACACACTCATGCATTTTTATGAGATGTATTCACTCTATTTCGTTTTAGGCGATGAAGAAATGGTGGTTCAATTTTGCCACAATCACATGCGTAGACATGACGTTTTCATACATTTCACATTGTCTTGTTTTCCCAAAAGGTGTTCTCAGCCCGGCTGAAGTGGACTGCTGTCTCCACCTCACCTAGGTCCTATCAATACTCCCAGTGGGATTCGAACCAGGACATTGCAGCGAGTAATCTCGACAGGTTAACCACTGAGGGTGTTGACAAGAGCCAAGCCAGGTCGAGACTTCAGTCCAGCCTGGATGAGCACACTTTTGGGAAGCAAGGCTATATGAAATTTAATGAAGACGCCAGCCATGTTCAAATCATTTTGGGGAGAATTAACTACCTCTTGTCATCTTGTCATCTTATACGAAAATGAATGGTTTTATTTTAATCAAATGATCTTATAATAATCTTTTATCATCCTAAATGAAAGCCTGAAAAAAATAAAAATAGGATCTTTGCATTTTTGCTTTTTAACCTTGTTTTATTAGAGAGGAGACAATTTTACCATTTAATTTTCAAAATTGCTGGATAGATAGCCAATAAGACCAGAACTATCTACTAACAAAGCTATCTAATAAGATTAGCCTAAAACTGATTTAACTTGTATATATTTATTCCGGAATACGCTGAGTTGCTTAAACTTGAATCAATTTAACTTAAATAGGTGTAATTTAATTGTAATTTCAATATGATTTTAATTGATTTTAATAAATTTGATGTCATTTTATAGGTATTGATAAGATTTGATCATAGTTGGTTAGAAGAAAGCATGTATGAATTGTCTTTTATCGATATGATTAGAATAATTTCTTAATTTATTATATTT